GAGGAGGAGAAATGGAGCCAGATTGACCACAGTAACTTATGTTTATTGTAGGTATCACTGGCAAACGCCAGTATTTCCTCCATACGCATAATATAATTGAGCACGAACACCCAGAGCGGGAGAGGTGGGGGGGTGGTCGTTTTCCAAAATAGGGGTATCAATTGACGGGCCGCAGAAAGAAAAAAGCGCAATAGACTTTTCTTTTGCTTTGAGCCAATGAGCCCGGCAATATAGAGAGTAGAGCAATCTCAGGCGCAGGGGCCAAGGACTCACCATAGACCCAGTTAAGAGTGATAAAGGAGAGGGGTCAGAGGACAAGAGAGTAATGACACCCTGTTTATACCACAACCGCAGTACAGCCACAGTCAATGGGGACAGACCGGAAGAACGTTGATAGTCTTGGCTGTAACCCCATAGTAAAGCCAGAAGGTCGATCTGGGATAGATCCTGTTCTATCATACAAGAGGCTGGACATGGTCCAACCATAAGAAATGACAGAGAGGATGAAGTCGCATAATCTAGAAAAGACTGTGAAATAAATAAATAGTCGATACGACTATAGGACTCATGAGCTGCGGAGTAAACACTAGTCTCGTTCCGAAGGGTGTTGGATACGCCAGACGTCCACTAAGTGTACGTCATGCAAACGTGACTTGACTTGAAATAAGACCGACGAGGAGGAAGAAGATTTACCCGCAGATGTGTCTAGATCTGGAGAGAGAGCTATGTTGAAGTCTCCTCCAACAATGAAACAGGGACCCCCAAAAAGCGGACAACTTAGAGAGGACCGCTGTGAGATATGCAGCCTGATCTTGGTTGGGAGCATAAACGTTCGCCACTGTAAAGACGAAATTACGATATTTCAATTTAAGGAAAAGATAGCGACCAGCTGGATCAACTAGTGAGTCCAAGACCTCCGGGCCAAACGTATGATGGAAAGCCACCGATACACCTCTGGATCATGCCTGCGGATTAGTACTATGATACCATTGCGTATAAAAGCGGTTACGGAGGGCCGGGATACCATCGGAGCGAAAATGAGTCTCCTGGAGAAGCAAGATCTGCGATTTATGTTTATGGAAATGGTATAATAAAACATCTGGCTCCTCTTCTCTGGGGTGTTAAAGCTCCTGCAATTAATAGAGGAAAATTTGATCGGGGTCATCGATGAAATAGGAGGAGAGTAGATCACCAATGGCGCTCCCCAAACCATCCCCGACTCCCGAGAAAGAAAAAAAAAAAAAGGAGTAGGGGAAAAGTAGGAAAAGCTGAGAAGCAAAGAGCAGAAAAAGAAGGAAAATGAGCAGAGAAAACTAAGACAGATGACAGATGAACTGTCTAGATAACACAGTGTGGTACTACATAATACACTGAAGGCCTAGGTGGGGAATGTCAGAGGATCATGTATCCGATCCCGACCCAGGTCTCCTGCAGGTAAATAACTTAGAGAAAGGCCACCCTCGGTGAGGATGACTTCCTCCCATGAAACATGTTGAGTAAACCCTCGAACAGGCATAAGAACACAAGAAAAAGGGGAGAACCCCCCCTTGACAATAAACATAAGCATAACCCTGCAACGGCAAGGTATGCATAAACCCAAAAAAAATAATGAGGGCTTAGGACCTCCGAGATGATGGCTGAAGGCATCCCCATCCGCCGCAGCAAACGTCGGCGGCGGAACCAAAAGGACCAGCCCCAAGCCACAGCCCCAGAACCCAACAAACAACTGGCTTAAGTATAAGGCACAGGTCCAAAAAGAGCAACCAACAGTTTAGTGCAGTCCTAGTTGACTCGAAAGGTGATCAGCCCTCTGGGATCTGCTGGGTGGAGAATCTGGAACATTTCTTCCTGCAATCAGACTGCTGCCAGGGCGAGGAGGAAAATGGGAGGCCCGGGGTCGGGAGCCGGAAGGGACACTTGAGGCAACTCGAACACACTAAGAAATGTGGGCAGGTCCCCAGGAGTACAAAATTGTGCGGATTTTCCATTCTGAGAGGCGTGTAGTTGAAATGCGAACCACCACAGGTAGCGAATATGTCTCTCCAGTAACATCTGAGTGAGGGCGCAGGGCCCTGCGCATGGCTAGTGTCTGACAGGAGAGGTCAGGGAGGAGCATCACCAGGACTTCATTGAAGAGGCATGGTATCCTGCGTGCTAGCTGCACGCATAATGGCGTCCTTGACCTTGAAGTAGTGGACCCTGCAGAGGGTATCACGGACAAAAGATGGATCAGGGTTTCTAGGGCCCATAGTGCGATGTACGCGGTCTAGCTCAATAGGGGTGTCTTTAGCTTGTTGTAGTAATTGATTAAAGATGGCGGTAACCGCTGCAGCCAAATCTTTAGATTCGATGGTTTCAGGTATTCCCCGAATCCGTATGTTATTACGGCGGTTCCTGTTCTCAATGTCATCCTGTTGGTACATGAGCTGTTGTATTAAGACCGTGTGGGAGTTAAGGGTCTCTTTATGGTATTGTAAGGCATTACATAGGCCGTCAGCTGTATTTTCAATCTCTTCCATACGCACGCAAATGTCTTGTTTAAGATCAGAAATTTCCTGCTTGTATATGCTTTCAATACGTTTCACATAAAGCTCAAAATCTGCCTTTGTGGGAAGGGACTTCATGTAGGTGTGCAGGGACCTCATGTGGGACTGCAGATCCCAGCCATCCTCAGAGCAGAGAGATGCTGGGGAAGGGCTGCGAGGTGTCTGTGTAGCCTGTGGACCCTGTGTTGGCTGATGGAATCCCTTTGTGCGGGGGGGGGGAGCCCCGGGGGGCTTACCTGTCCTTCTTCCTGGAGCTCCGTGTCCTGGGTGGATGAGCGAGGGAGAGGTGCCAGCGCCATCTTGCAGGGAGAGGTGCCGGTGCCATCTTGCAGACCGGGGTGCCCGAGGCCTCGGCCAAGGATCGGGACATGTACTTGCTTAAGTCCCCGTCGGACAGGCCTCCCGCAGGTCTCCGGTGCTGATTTTTGCTCCATGCTCCATGCACCTGGTCACACCCCCCCCCCCATTCCAAATTTTTTGAAAGATTGTAAATCGGTCGAAATTTATCGATGGATCCGAATTCTGTGTGAAGAATAGCTGATTGTTAGGGAGAGAGCCGAGAAACCGGCTGCCGCGTCCTTGAAAAAAGCAATGACTCATCAGCTGTCAGTGGTTTCCCCATTGACAGCTGAATGTATAAAAAAAAAAATGTTGCAAATACAAAAAACCCCCCCAAAAAACAAATCCATACCAGACCAGACTTCATCAGGATTGGTCCTCACAAGGTGCACCAATCCTGATGAAGTCCTGATGGTGTATCCTGATGAAGTCACGTTGAAACCAATCGTGACGTAACGCGTAGATACGCCAGTGGGAGGAGCCTAACGGACCGCGTGGTGACGTCATATCCGGCGTCAGCGCCATCTTGGTGCACCTTGTGAGGACCCACACAAATAGTACACCCATGGTGTGGTGAAATGCGGACATTGAACTGCACAAATGTGAGTAGTATCTAGAGTGTGGTTTCCAATAAAAGTATGCAGTTTTACACTATGTTGGATCTCTTTGCCTTATGTGGGACATGTATGGAGAGGTGTTTCGTATTGATATCTGGAGGTATTCGTTGGATATAGACTGGAGGAAGTACCACCGCTATTGCTGAGGGGGTTCCCAAGGTGTCCTGGGAGGATAACAAAAGAGGCATTCTATCTAGCTCAGTGGTCCTGAGGGGCCTGGGCAGGAAGGTGAGGGGGCACCCCTGTCACTGTGGATTCATTATTCAACTGGGAGCACTTGCATGAAGATTGCTGTGTGTTTTTGTTCACCTGTTATTTGAGAGTAATCACAGCACTATATATTTATATATTGTTATAATATGAGATAATTTTCACATAGTACATCTTGTGGAAGAGGTACCTATAGCGCTGCACTTCTATATCTCCAAAAAAGCTGTTAGCCCCTCCCAGTCCCAACATATTTAGATTGACGCAAAAGCAATTGCAGGAGTAATGATAAAGCAGAGAGGTGGGAGCTGCGCCAATGAAGTAGAAGAAAAGGATTTTACAGTAAGAGTGAGTGCTGGTTTTATAAAAAAAAAAAAGACAAAAAAAAAAAAATCACAAAAAGGAACTTTTATAACGTACATGCTTGTTAGAAATTAACATCCCGTTCTTTCACATTTCAGATCAGTCCCAATTCCTGCAAACTTCACACTTCAGATCAGCTCCAATTCCTGCACCTCCAGTCCTCAGATCAGCCCCACATCAGGCACCTTCACACCTCAGATCACTGTATCCCCCTGCAAATCTGCCCCAACACTGTACCACCCTGCACATACTGTATGCCCAACTGCTGTACACCTCCTGCACATATGTCCTAACGCTGAATCCACCTTTTCAGCTGTCCCAACACTGAAGCCCCTGCTCATCTGTCCCACTGCTGCACCCTCTTCTCATCTATTTGCGCAATATACAGAGTGGCACAAGGAAGCAGAGATGTGACACAGCTACCTGTCCTGGCACACTCATCCCCGCTGATCTGCCTCTCGCATTCCAGCCCATGTGTTTGTACAAGCATCTGGAATAGATACACAGTGATGAGCTCAGGTCAGGGGAATTTTCTGAAAGCATAGAGCCTGTGTGCAAGATCATAAGTTGGGCCTTTCCAGCTGAGAAAAAATGTAGCACAGTGAGCTGCAGCAGAAATTGGGTGTGATTTTTTTTTTTTTTGCTGGATACTGGCTGTGGAAGGAAACACAGAGTGCAGGGGTTCAGTAGTAAGTGATTCAAAGGCTCTGAAGTGAGGCAGAGTTCAGGAGTTAGGTGATGAAATAGAATAGGTTAGAATAGGTGATGAAGAGGTCAGTTGAAGTGGATGACACAGAGCTGAGGGGTCAGTAGTAAGTGATACACACACTATCATTAGAGTCAAGTGTTCCAATCACCTCCATAGCCACAGACCTATAAAATCAAGCACCTAGGTATGCAGACTGCTTCTACAATCATTTGTGAAAGAATGGGTCACTCTCAGGAGCTCAGTGAATTCAAGCGTGGTACCGTGATAGGTTGTCACCTGTGCAATAAGTCCATCTGTGAAATGTCCTTGCAACTAAATATTCCACGGTCAAGTGTTGGTTGTATTATAACAAAGTGCAATCAACTGGGAAAGCAAATCAGCCATGAAGTGGTAGTTAAAGACCTCCAAACTTCATGTGGCCTTCAGATTAGCACAACAAAAGTGCATAGAGAGCTTCATGGAATGGGTTTCCATGGCTGGGCAGCTGCATGCAAGCCTTACATCATCATCAAGTGCAATGCAAAGCATCGGATGCAGTGGTATAAAGCACGCCACCACTGGACTCTAGAGCAGTGGAGATGTGTTCTCTGAAGTGATGAATCGCGCTTCTCTATCTGGCAATCCAATAGATGTGTCTGGGTTTGGTGGTCACCAGGAGAACGGTACTTGTCTGACTGCATTGTGTCAAGAATAAAGTTTGGTGGGGAGGGATTATGGTGTGGGGTTGTTTTTCAGGGGTTGGGCTTGGCACCTTAGTTCCAGTGAAGGGAACTCCTAAAGTGTTACTAAACCCACAACAGTAAAATCAGTCTGTATATGCAGTAAAGCATGCTTGTTATACTCATTGTGAAACCTAAGGAGTTAATCCTCTGCATTGTGTAAAAAGGATGTTTGATCCTGTTGATCCTGTATTCTCTGTTCCTCTCCTTCTTCCAGTGTCCCCCTCTTATCTCCTGATAAGACATATCGTGTGGAGACACTCTGCACATGCTCAGTTTGGTGTGTATTGCTAGAGACGTTTTTTTTTCTTCCTCTTGGGAGAGTGCATGTGATGAGCATAGGGCCAATCAGCACTGTTCAGACAGAGGTCAGGTGTTCTGCATCCTCCTAGAGCAGAAGGAAAGCTCCTCCTACAAGCTTTAACCAGTGCTCTGTTGAACACTGATAGAAGTCACAAGACTGCTAACTGCTGATGGGAAAAGGTATTTTGCAGTTTACATTTACCAACATAATTGCATTTCCATGTAGTGTGTACTATGGGAGACCAGATATAATGAATGCAGAGTCCTGGGTTTAATAACACTTTAAAGCGTGAGTATACCAATACATTTTGGGCAATTTTATGCTCCCTACTTTGTGGGAACAGTTTAGGGATGGCACTTTCCTGTTCCAACATGATTGCGCACCAGTGCACAAAGCAAGGTCCATAAAGACATGGATGAGCAAGTTTGGGGTGGAGGAACTTGACTGGCCTGTACCTCAACCGGATAGAAGACCTTTGGGATGAATTACAGCGGAGACTGCAAGCCACGCCTTCTCGTCCAACATCAGTGCCTGACCTCACAAATGCTCTTCTGGAAGAATGATCAAACATTCCCATAGACACACTCCTAAACCTTGTGGACAGCCTTCCTAGAACAGTTGAAGCTGTTAAAAGGGTGGGCCAACTCAATAATGAACCCTACGGACTAAGACTGGGATGCCATTAAAGTTAATTTGCGTGTAAAGGCAGGCGTCCTAATACTTTTGGCAATATAGTGTATATATTTCAGCAAAGTTCCCAGAAGCTCAACATTAATTCCACAAACTGTCACCCGACTGTGCTTTTCTCAATCACAGTGAAATCCCTTCTGAGATTGGTACTGGCAAACAAGCAAATCATCTTCCTCCAGATGGTGGGTGGGGCTAGCAGGACGGTGATTGGATTTAGCAGTGGCCAATCACAATCGTCGTCCTCCTGGAAAACAGGGACCACCTCCCTATCAGAACTGCACCTGATCTCTTCCCCATCACAAGAGTTGAAAACTGCAGCTACAGCAAAGTTAGAGAACCAAATATTGTTTCCCATCTTGTACAATGTATGGGGGAACAGTGCCTTCCCCTCAGTGTGGCTATGGTGCAGGGAATTCTGAGGTTGGAATACAGTGTGACAGAAGCTGTGTCTCACTGACATTTCCCTACGCTACTCTGCTGATGGGCAGGGAGTCAAGTGCCACTTGTGGCATCCATGCCAAGGGTTGCCTACCCCTGCATTAGAGCATTTTTTATAATTCTGGGCAGCACAGTGGCTAAATGGCTAGCATTTCCGCCTGGCAGTACTAGGGTCATTGGTTTGAATCCCAACCACGGCACAACCTGCCTGGAGTTTGCATGTTCTCCCTGTGCTTGCATGGGTTCCCTCCAAGTACTCCGATTTCCTCCCACACTCCAAAGACATGCTGGTAGGCTAATTGGCTCCTGTCTAAATTGGCCTTAGTATGTGTATGTATGAATGCAAGGTAGGGACCTTAGATTGTAAGCCCCTTGAGGGTTAGGGACTGATGTGAATGTACAATATATATATATATATATAGCGCTGCGTAAATTGACGGCGCTATATAAGTACCTGAAATAATAATAATTTTGCTATGAACCGGTTTATTCAGGAATAACTTTCTCATAAGGTAATACATATATTGTTTTTTTTTTTTGTTTATTGTTTTACGATTCTGTTATAAAGCACTGAAAAGTTATTTAGAAATTAGATTTTATTTACTTTTTTTTTTCTTGTCAGGTTGATTTAACTGACATTAGCAAATAGAAAAGATACAAAAGCAAAATGTAACTTTGTATCTTTCCACTCACCTCTGAACAGTGTTGTATTTTTTTTTTATTTTTTTTTTTTAATCAGCAGCTGCCAGAGCTACTCTATGTACACAGCTACTCCTGGCTTTGATTAATCAGAGCCACCTGAAGGACCTTATGCCCAAAACTGGCAACAGATAATGCCTAAACATCCACCTGGTAAATCTTGGAGAACATGTGAACAGAAGACCAGGTGGCAGCCCTAAAGTCTAATGCAGGCCATAGACGGGGAGAAAAACGGACGATTTTTCTTTTAAAAAACGAAAAAGCGGTCGTTCAAGCGGCCGACGTTACCAATGGTATAAAAAAAAAAAAATCGGCCTATTTTCATCCCGTCTACAGCCGGCAAAAAGTGTCCCTGCAGAGAGCTCTGCTATTTCTTTGACAGTTCCTTGACATTTACAGAGGTTGCAACAATGTATCTATTTGTATCCATTTAGGATACAGATGTTTTTATTCGGAAACAAATAGATACAATGTTGCAACCTCTGTAAATGTCAAGGAACTGTCAAAGAACTGTCAAAGAAATAGCAGAGCTCTCTGCAGGGACACTTTTTGCCGGACTGGAATTCCTCTTATTTTTCATCCTTCATCCTCTACTTCTTCGTCCTCATCCTCTTCTTCTTCTTCTACTTCTTCGTCCTCATCCTCTTCTTCTTCTTCTACTTCTTCGTCCTCATCCTCTTCTTCTTCTACTTCTTCGTCCTCATCCTCTTCTTCTTCTACTTCTTCGTCCTCATCTCTTCTTCTTCTTTACTTCTTCGTCCTCATCTCTTCTTCTTCTACTTCTTCGTCCTCATCCTCTTCTTCTTCTACTTCTTCGTCCTCATCCTCTTCTTCTTCTACTTCTTGTCCTCATCCTCCTCTTCTTCTACTTCTTGTCCTCATCCTCCTCTTCTTCTTTCTTCGTCCTCATCCTCTTCTTCTTCTACTTCTTCGTCCTCATCTTCTCTTCTACTTCTTCGTCCTCATCCTCTTCTTCTTCTACTTCTTCGTCCTCATCCTCTTCTTCTACTTCTTCGTCCTCATCCTCTTCTTCTTCTACTTCTTCGTCCTCATCCTCCTCTTCTTCTACTTCTTCGTCCTCATCCTCTTCTTCTACTCTTCGTCATCATCCTCTTCTTCGTCATCATCCTCTTCGTCGTCATCCTCTTCTTCGTCATCCTCTTCGTCATCCTCTTCATCATCCTCTTCATCATCCTCTTCATCATCCTCTTCATCATCCTCTTCATCATCTCTTCTTTTTTTGTCTTCCTCTTGCAGGTCACTGCTCATGCGCAGATTTTTTATCGGTAAAAAATCGGCCGATTTGCCCATCATTGCCACGAAATTCGGCCGATCGGCAAAATCGGCTGATTTTTTTCCAACTTTACCGATAAAAAAAACCGGCCAAAATACCGAAAAACGCGGCCGAACAAATAGCCCACTAACGATCCGAAAATCAGCTGATTTTATTTTCGGCCGAAAAATCGGCCGATTTTCGACCCATCTATGGCCTGCATAAGAAACAGATGTCTGATGCTAAAAAGCCAAAAGAGGCACCTGCTGGGTGTCAGGCAAATCGCAGTCAGAATGCTGAGTTGTAACGGTTTGGAGTGAAACTGAGCATAAGGGACTGCCTTGAAGAAGGCCACCACCTATCCCAGGAAAACATAGATGGCCAGTTCCTGGACTGAGTCTAAACAAGGGAGCAGAGAGTCAAGCGTTTGTCCTTTTGGGGGGGAAAAAAAATCCCATGACAGGTATGCCCTGTGAACACAACAGAGCAAGCACAGGGGCTAGCTAACACCTGGGTGAATACTCGAGGTACAGTGGACAGACCAAAGGGAAGAGCTTTGAACTGGTAGTGTGTGCCCACAGCAAACACAGGTAGCAGTGATGAGCTGGAAATATGAGGACAAGACAAGTAGGCATTTTTCTTTTTTCACCAGACAGCGAAACAAAACTGCCACATAGGACAGCAGAACAGGTTAGGGGGGAAAGTATTAGTGCAACACAAGACACGGAGTATCATCAGCGGTCAAATAGATCAAAGCAACAAGGATGGTGACTATCCAGCACATAATGTAAGAAGGAATACAATGTTAAAGAGCAAGATATGAGTACATCACTTCTATTCAGTTATACCAGATTGCATCAAATTTGCATGGAGCATTACAGAGGAGATACGTATTCTTCTCAAACAAATCTGTTCATATCAGAAATCCAATCTGTTATGGTTGGTGTGGAAGCAGACACCCATTTAGAGGCTATCAGCTTCCTTGCAGAAATGAGAGGACCTTACAATCGTTAAGGATAAGTTAGACGTAGGCATCTTTGATATCCATAGAAATCTCACAGATGAAAGGAAGCAATGACTGACCTGGTGGATTCCATGTGAATTCTTGCACCCGTATGAAGACATTGGTGGCCTTCAGATCCAGAATGGAAAGTATGCCTCCACTGGACTTGGGAACTGTGAATAGGTTTGCATAAAACCCTTTCCTTTTCTGGAACAATGGCAATAACTCTTTAAAAGAGGGCTTTGCAGTAACTTGTAGTCTTTGTGGAGAGGTTGGAAAAAAGGAAAAATTGGGAAGGAGGCAGAGATTACCATTCTATCTTGTAACCCCAGGACACCACATCCTTCACCCATGCATCCAAGATGCTTTTGTTCCAGGTGGACACAAAGGCTAACAGATTTTCCCCAACAATGAGAAATTGGGAGCACTTCCTCATTGTAATGACGACTTGCTCACAAATTTGAAAGGTTCTGTTGGGATTGACTCAGGTACATTAATCATATCCTTGGTCCATATCATCAAGGTTTGGCAAATAGACACGACAGCAATAAAATGTTGCAGACAGGGCTTGTCAGGAAGAACAAGGACTTGAAAAGGGTTTCCAATCTCTTGTCCCCTAGGCCCTTAAACACTGGGATGCCCTCAATGAAACAGTTAGTGGTTTATTTAGGCAAGGAATGACAAGATCCAAAATGGAAATCACCCACATTTGGAAAATGTCTCTTCAAAAGGGTATTGCTCAGCAAATGCTTGGAAAGTGAAAATAGCTTGACAGGAGTGGACCATGCACCATACAAAACAGGCTGTATTAAAGAGTGTACTGAGAAAGTGTCAACAGCTTTAGAACTCTTAAGAGAACTCCAGAGTGGGGACTTGAGAATTCAGACGCAGGTTGCTCCATATACAGACATGTATGCAACGCATCAATAACCAAAATAGTATCTTTAGGTCAAGGTGTTATATCAACAATCTGAACTTCCTTTGGCACAAAATCATTCAAAAAGGATAGGTTACACTCATCACTGGAGAAGGTATAGAATTATGTTTGCAGTGAAATATCACAGCAGCGATGTTTGTCAAAATCTGACATAGCCGATAATTTCTCTTTGGAAAACACAGAACGAAAGAGCACCAATTGGAGCTAGAGAAAACTCAGAGAAGCATACAGACTCAAGCAGTAAGTACTTGCGAAGGAACATTGAAATCTGCATCGGAACAGTGAGTTAGCTGGAAAGGCCTGCAGAACTGCTTCATTT